CTCCTCCTTTTTGCTGTTCTTTTGTAATTTTTTCTATGTATTAGATCAGTGATGGTGAACCTCTGACACCTCTGACACACGAACTCATTTTTTGGTTGATTTTTCTTTGTTAAATGGCATTTAAACATATAAAATAAATATCAAAAATATAAATCTTTGTTTTACTATGGTTGCAAATATCAAAAAATTTCTATATGTGACACGGCACCAGAGTTAAGTTAGGGTTTTTCAAAATGCTGACAAGCCGAACTCAAAAGGTTCGCCATCACTGTATTAGATCAAACTGCTATGCCACCCAGATTTTTTGAATTGGTCTTATGTACTAGATGTTTTGTGGGATCCAATGGTGTAGTCTCTCATGTCTCCTGGACTGGGAGTTCTACGGAGGCCCTCTACTTGAGATATTTGGTTCTTTTGATGTAGTTGGGTCTTGAATGTTTGTCCCTTTTGTGGATGGAGTCTCCTCTCAGGGTGTATGATTATACACATTTTATATGTAGTTTGTCCTCACTTAGAAGAATTAGAAACTCGAGAAAAAAAAATGGGATTGTGAACTAATTTCCCCAAGGCCGGTGATTTTGTCTTGAGGAGGGAAGTTTGAACAAGTGAAACATTGTTCCAATGTGAAGGGTGTTTGAACTTCAACTTTGGGTTTCCATCTGCTTGGGTTGGGAAACTGGCTTTCTGAGAACAAAGGACAATCCTGTGTCATCCTTCCCCAACCCACTCTGCCACCACTGTCACAGTTCTTCCCAGCCAGCTGGGTGCTAAGTGTTGGCCATGGGCTGTGATGTCATTAAACAGTTTGCATATCACCTCTGGGTTATGGCTGCATCAATTTTGTTTTGGTCAATCAGACAAAAGATCAGTAAGGAAACGGAGGACTTGAGCAGCGCCATGTAGATTAATTGAACTATATTCCCTAACAGACATAGACAGAACATGCTGTGGAGTAGCACACGTGTTCTTCCCACATACCTGGAGCATTCTCCAGCCCAGCTCACATGTGAGGCCTCCATATCAGTCTGACCAAGTTTAAGAAGCCTGAAGTTACACCGGATATCTTTTCTGGCCACAATGGAATAAAACTAGAGATCAATAACAAAAGAAAAACTAACAAATTCACAAATATATGGACATTTTAAGAAATATACTCTTGAACCTCCCATGAGTCAAAGAAGATTCCATGAGGGAGATCAGAAAATATCTCTAGACAAATGAAAATGAAATATAGTACCATATTATACATATAAAAATGGGTGAAACACTACATTTTTTTTTACCACAATAGATACTAAATGGAAGAGCTACATAATAACAAAAAAGCTTAAGAAAATTCAAGTAAACTAAAATACATCTTTCTTTTATTGCAAGATGTGGAGTCTTACTTATATCCTCAAATACCTTATTGTCATGTTCCACTTGAACAAGGTATAAAATCATAAAGTAAAAAAAAAAAAAATTTGAAACAACAGCAGACAAGAAGTATCTGACTTGAGAGAACCAAAATGGTGGCATAGGTAAACACCAGAGATTGCTGCCTCGCACAACCACTTCAAGAATACAACTAAAAGACTGAACGGACATTCCAAAACCACAGGAAGGCTGGCTGAGTGGAAATTCTACAACTAGAAGGAAAGAGAAAAGCATACTAAGACTCAGAGGAGGTGCAACTTGGAAGTACAGAGGTACAGAGGTGCATGCGGAGAGGGCTGGCGGCTAAGGACACGGTTTTCTTTTTCAATTGGGAGGGAGTCTCAAGCTCTGAGCTCCAGTTCCAGGAGAGTCTCTGGGGACCCAGACTCATATGAGAGAAACTGGACTGTCTGGCATCGGTGGGAACTCGAAGGTGGCTTTCTCTCAGAGGTGCTTGCAGTGTTTGCCAGAACACTGAGAAGCAGGGCCTCTAAGGGCAGCCATAGCTGCGTGCTCCGCCCTGTCGATCCCCTGGGACCCAGCTCTGCCCAAGCCAAGCCACGCACAGGAGGCTTTTGCATATGAAAGGCCTGGCCCTTTGCAATCTGAAAATTACCTAACAGATTGCAGCTGGCCCAAGGCCCCAGGCAACTTGCATTGCTTCACACCTGGCTCCTACTGGATAGCCTCAGGCAGAGGCTAGATTAGCACCTCCTTGGAGATCCAGGAGCAAGTGTGCCAGGTGGTCAGAGTGGGACCATCCAGATTGCAGCTCTTCAGATCCATAAAGGACACATTCAGGGGGCAGACTCAGTGAGCACCAAAGCCCCACTGAAGCAAGTCTTGCCCCGGAGGGGTGTCTCTAGCACAGAAGTTCTCCCACTGCAGACACAGCTGATTCTCACAGCCAATTGGCCTGGAGGTCAATTCCTCCCAGTGATACCTACAACAATCAAGGCTTAACTACAACAAGACTGTGCACAAAGCCCACAAGGGGGTGCACCAAGAGTGCCCACCTCAGGTAATTGGGGAGACTGAGCCACTGGGCCCTATAGCACACCAAGCACACAAAGCCACTCTATCAACACAGGGAAGCAGCCAAAATGTGGAGACAAAGAAACAGGTCACAAATGAAAGAAATGGAGGAAAGCAAACTATTGGATACAGAGTTCAAAACCACACTCTTAAGGTTTTTCAAGAACTTTCTAGAAACCGCTGACAAATTTAGTAAGACCCTCAAAATGATGGGTGAGACCACCGATAAATGTAGTGAGATCCTCAAGAAATCTAGTGAGACCATCGAGGGTATGAAAAAGGACCAACTAGAAATTAAGCATACACTGACTGAAATAAAGGATATTATGCAAGTTCCAACAGCAGACTAGAGGATCGCAAGAATCAAGCCAAAAATTTGAAATACGAAGAAGCAAAAAACACCCAACCGGAAAAGCAAAACGAAAAAAGAATCCAAGAATCCGAAGATAGTGTAAGGAGCCTCTGGAACAGCTTCAAGTGTACCGACATCGAAATTATAGAGGTGCCAGAAGAAGAGAGAGAGCAAGATATTGAAAACCTATTTGAAGAAATAATGACAGAAAACTTCCCCTACCTGGTGAAAGAAATAGACTTCCAAGTCCAGGAAGCGCAGAGAACCCCAAACAAAAGGAATCCAAAGAGGACCACACTAAGACACATCATAATTAAAATGCCAAGAGCAAAAGACAAAGAGAGAATCTTAAAAGCAGCAAGGGAAGGACAGTCAGTTACCTACAAGGGAGTACCCATATGACTGTCAGCTGATTTCTCAACAGAAACTTTGCAGGCCAGAAGGGAGTGGCAAGAAATATTCAAAGTGATGAATGCCAAGAACCTACAACCAAGATTACTTTACCCAGCAAAGCTATCATTCAGAATTGAAGGTCAGATAAAGAGCTTCACAGATAAGGAAAAGCTAAAGGAGTTCATCACCACCAAACCAGTATTATATGAAATGCTGAAAGGTATCCTTTAAGAAGAGGAAGAAGAAGAAAAAGGTAAAGATACAAATTATGAACAACAAATACACATCTATCAACAAGTGAATCTAAAAATCAGGTGAATAAGTAATGTGATGAACAGAATAAACTGGTGATTATAATAGAATCAAGGGCATAGAAAGGGAGTGGACTAATTATTCTTGGAGGTGAAAGGGGTAGGGGGGGATGTGGGAAGAGAGTGGACAAAAATCGTGCACCTATGGATGAGGACAGCGGGAGGACGAAGGGGTAAGGGCAGGGGGCGGGGTGGGAACCAGGTGGAGGGGAGCTATGGGGGGAAAAAAGAGAAACAACTGTAATAATCTGAACAATATTTAATTATTTAAAAAAAAAGAAGTATCTGAATTCCTTCAATATCCTCTGACTTCTAATATGTTTTCTTTATCTGTCATTTTCTGCAGTTTGAATTCATGGGTCCTGGATCTGTGGTTTGGTGTCTGACATTAATTTGGGGAAAATCATTATTTATTATTGCTTCAAATATTATTTTTTCTGTTAATTTCTCTCTTTTCCTTATATTCTCATTATATGTATGTTACAACTTTTGTAGTTGTCCCACAGTTCTTGGATATTATGTTTCATGTTTTTAGTCATTTTTCTCTTTGCTTTTCAGTTTTGAGATTTCTGTTGAGATTTCCTTAAGTGCAGAGGTTTTTCTTTCACTTGTGTCCAGTCTACTAATGAGCCAAAGAAAGCATTTCTTTATTTCTGTTGCAGTATTTTTATATCTTTAGCATTTCTCCTTTACTTTTTCTTAGACTTTCTATCTCTCTGCTTATATTACCTATCTGCTCTCACATTTTGTCTATGTTTTCCATTAGATCTCTTAGAAAATTAATCACAGTGGTTTAAAATTCCCGGTCTAAGAATGTCAACATCAATATTACAGTTGAGTCTGATTCTCAGCTTACTCTGTCTCTTCAAACTGTTGTTTGTTGCCTTTGAATATGCCTTGTAATTTTTGCTTTTGTTGAAAGTTGGATATGATACATGTGATAAAGGAACTCTGGTAAACCCGCCTTTAGTGATATGGCGGTAGATGTATGAGAAGGGAAGCACTCTATAGTCCTATGAATGGGTCCCAGTATTTTCCTTTTTTTAGTGAGCCTGTGCCCTAGGCTGTGAACTCACAAGAGGTTCTCAGTGCTCTCTCTCCCCTCTTGGATGTGGCAGGAGGGTAGAGGGAACTAGATTTGGATGATGCCCTTGCCCTGCATGGAAGATTAGAAGAGGCTGGAGCTGGGTATTACCCTTTTATCAATTGCTTCGGCTCCTATAAAGAGTAGGAAAATGAAAGCCTCATCAACAAGAGGAAGTGACTGGATGTATTTGAATCTGAAAAATCGAATCATTGCAGTATCAACATGGAATTGAGAGATGTGAGGGTAAACACGGATGAAATAAGGAAAAAAGAGCAGGAACTAGAAACCAGGAGGAGAGACGGTGAGAGCAGGGAGCTGCTGATCCCTTTTCTCATGAGCTTTCTCAATGTATTTGACTTTAAAATGACATGCATGTATGATGGTGTCACCTGGCTTCTGTTCCCAGGGTGAAGGACAGGGAGGGGGTCTCAAAGTGAGAGAGAAGAAGCTGACTGTGCCGAAGGGCTCGGTGGTGGCCTATAAGAGGAAGCAGCTGGTTTTCAAGGAGAAAGACTGGGGTAAGCAAAGGCTGAAGGAGGCATTGGGATCAAAGACTTGCTTCTCCTGGGAAGAGAAATAAGAAGAGGAGACCATCATCAGGCAACCTTGGCTTCTCTACCTGTTCAGAGAGAAGCAGCATTTGCCATCTGTCCAGGGCACACACATCACCACTATTCACAGTCTCCTTTAAGCAAGATCCCACTGAAATGTTGCTCTGGGAGGCAGGGACAGTATCCTACATGGAGAGAGTCAGAGGGGTGTGCTTAGCACTGGGTAAAGCATGATCCTACTCCCACATGTCTCTATTCAAGGTCCCTCCACTCTCAGCAGCTCACCTGTGGGAGGGGGGGAGGTGGGCACAGAGACCTCCAAGGTTACCCATACCCTCCATGGTAAAGCCCATAACATATTGGCACAACCAGGAACAAAACTGCAAACAAAGTGCCCTGGCACAACCAGGAACAAAACTGCAAATAAAGTGCCCTGTGATGCAGAATTGTATCTACATCTCTCCCTCCCTCCCCTGCCTCAAAATGCACAACACCCAACTGGGTTCTGAATTCACATGGGAAAACCATTTGCATCAAATACAACTATAAACCAGGGTCCAGTGGTCCTATGAACAAACCAGCTCAGGATCCTTGGCCTCTCCCCGCCCAAATGTGGAGTCCCAGTGATAGGTCAGCCTGATAAAGGTAGGGGACTAGCTCCTCAGAGATCAGGGGCTGAATTCACCATACAGAGAACTTCCCATCTCTCTCTCTCTCTCCCCCTCTCGCTCCCCCCCTCTTTCTCTCTCTCTCTCCCCCTCCCTTTTTCTCTCCCTCCCTCCCTCCCTCCCTCCCTCTCTCTCTTTTACACACAGCTATCTACAGCGTCCTCACTGCAACATCTGGTGAGGGGTGGGTCCTGCTGTTACTGACCTCCTGTCAGTGGCAATAGATGGAATGAGTATGAGCTCTCCATTTCTTTTTTTTATTTTTGGAGAAACAATTCAAAGCATTTTATTCATTAATCCATTTAATTCAATAATGTACCATATTGTACTGGCACTATTAATACTACTGTCATTATTTCCCTTTGAGAGGACCATGCTTTTGAAAAAATCTTACCATCGATTAACTCTAAAAAATTTTACCTTACCAAAAAGCAACCCCTAATCAGCTAAGATGGAGGTGATATGGGTAAGGTGTTTTAGTCAAAAGAGGGGAGCACAGGTAGACCAACCAAGCAAATTCAGTACGTGGCTTAAATCAGATGGCAGGGAGAGAGCACCAGCACAGCCAAGGCCTTCGAGAAGGTAGCTAGAAGTACCCTGCCAAGTAGGTTAGTCTGCAGAATGGGAAAGATACAACCCTTTCCTATTATCCACTCAAACCCAAGCAGAGAATATGAAATAATGAATAACTAGAGCGTGGTAACTTTCCAGAAAACAGAAAGTTGGAGTAAACACACCATTTCCAGATAAAAGTGAGGTTGATGTCAGTGTAGAGAAAGGTTTGGATATCTTCTTTAAGTTTGTTTTTGGCATTTTGGTATGTAAGCAACCAAGATGGAGAGGGAGGTTATCCCAAAGAGGAAAGTCTGTAAGAACCACAGTAGTTGAGCCCGAACATTCATGATGCCTTTAGACTTGCACAAAACCATGACATACAAGGACTCTCCCACGTGAATCAGCCAGGCAAGCCAATACCCATTGCGCAGAAGGATATGATGATGATCCACCAAGTACTGAGTGAAGGGGCCCAGGAGACCAAGACTATGATAAGGAATACTCTGAGGCCAAAAGACAACCCACGTGAAATATCCCAGCACGAGGGCTGTGACCAGTGAGGGCAAGGGTCTGGCTGTGCAAAAGTAGGCGGTGGCAGCCCTGCTGCCCTCTGAGTTTGCCACCACCATCTTGAAAGATGCAGCTACTGAGCCATGGTGTGGAGAGCCGTCCCTCTGTCCCCGTCCCCATATCGGAAAAGCTTGAGTAGCCGGTCTCATGGCCTAGAGTGCTGGCTAGAGGCACAGACTGACCAGTCAGCTCTCCATTCTTACAGAGTCAGTGGCTGAACTCAAACTTCAAAAATCTTATATAATAAAAGGGTAATATGCAAATTGACCTAAAGGTAGAATATCTGGGAATGACCGGTCGGTGTGACATGCACTGACCTCCAGGGGGCAGACATTCAATGCAGGAATGCTTCTACAGGGGGAGCGCTGCTCAGCCAGAAGCTGGCTTATGGCTGGCCAGTGCAGTGGCGGTGGCGGGAGACTAGAGTGGATAACCATCACCCAGGTGTCTATTGAAAAGGCAGGTTCTAGCTTCCTTTTTAGAGAGTCTGATACGGAAGGTATGGAGTGAGGTCAGGTCTCTGAGTTACCACAGCATTCCAGGTGATTCTGGAATTCCAGGT